TGGTTAAGTGTGCGGACTCTAATCTGGGAGAACCGGGTTTGATTCCCCACTCCTCCACTTGCACCTGCTGGTGTGACCTTGGGTCAGTCGCAAGCTCTGGCACAGCTGTCCTTGGAAAAGAGCAGTTTCTCTCAGAGCTCTCTCAGCCCCACCCACCTCACAGGGTGCCTGTTGTGGGGAGGGGAAGGGAAAGGAGTTTGTAAGCCGCTCTGAGACTCCAAGTGAAGGGCGGGGTGTAAATCCAATCTCTTCTTCTCTTCTTCTTCTTCTTCTTCTACCCTCCGTGCAGCCATTTTCTCCAGCGGACCTGATCTCTATTATCTGGAGATGAATTATAATTACGGGAGATCTTCCAGCCACTACCAGGAGGTTGGCAACCCTAGCAGGGTCCCTTCCACTCAGTGCTTTCCACCTCAGGGAAAGTATTCCTCCCACCCACCCCCTGTTGAAAGATATTGTCACTGTATCAAGTGGTCTGGGGGCTTTACAATCTTGCTCCTAGGGAAAAATACACACACCCCTCCAAAAAGCCTCAAAGAGAGTCTGTTCACTCTTTTTAGTCCTGGGGCTGAAATGTACCCCACGTGGAATAGTCTAAACTTATACTAGCAAGTCTGTCAGGAGAGCTAAGAATGGAGCCTCCAGGTGCAGGAGCAGGGTATCTTTTGTGACTCCATTAAGGAGACAATGCCTGAAGAGTATACACTAGTTTGGGGTCTTGGGAGGGGAGGATGCAATCTCAGTGGTAGATCAGGTGCTGTTCATAGGGAGACAACAGGCTCTGATTTCTCTTGTTTCGAAAGGGCCCAAATTCCTTTGTTTTTATTTATTTGTTTTGGGATTTTTATTCCACCCTCCCCAATGGCACCGTGTTATAGGAAGGTTTTACTGTGGTTTAAATGTTGTATTTTATTATATGTTTTATTGTATTTTATATCTCGGCTTTGCCGCATGTGAGCTGCCCTGAGCCTCTGGGAGGGCGGGATATAAATCAAACGAATAAATAAATAAATAAAAAATAGAAAACAAGCCCAGCAGGGAGAACTG